TAATATGTGAGTTGAACGTTAACTGACTGTCAAAGCAAATGCCTAGATCTCTGATTGAGTCAGTTCTCGAAAGGTCTGTACCATTGATTGTATAAGGATATAGTATGGTGGAACGTCGGCTAAAGGTTACTATTCTGCATTTGGAGATATTTAAATTCAGATGATTTCTAATACACCAGTCATGTAAAACATCGATCTGCGATTGCAGGGCAGCACAGTCTTCTAGACATGCAATGGATGCATACATTTTTAGATCGTCCACAAACAATTTATTGCATTCCAGTGAAGTGCATAAGTCATTAACATATAACAAAAATAATAGAGGTCCCAAATTGGACCCCTGTGGTATTCCACTAGTAGAAACATAGTAACCAGATGTGGTTGAATTAATGTGAACATATTGCCGTCTCTGATGCAGATAAGATTTTAGAAGATTTAAAAAAGAACTATGAAGGCCTAAAGAAAAAAGTTTGTGGAGCAGAATACTGTGACTGATTTTATCAAATGCCTTAGAAAAGTCAACATAGACAGTATCTACCTGACCCCGTTGATCTATTGTTTCTATTGTTTCGCACAAATATTGGTCGAAGATTGCAAGGTTACTAATAGTAAACTGAAATGTAATTTTTTGCACTTTCATAAAGACGGTCGTGTAAAATAATTTCTAAGAGTTTCGCTGGATTGCAGAGAATAGATATTGGTCTGTAGTTGCTTATAACATTTAACTGTTGCGACTTGTGTATAGGGCATACCTTAGCAATCTTCCACACTTCAGGAAAAGTTGATGTCTTGAGAATTCGGTTGAAAATAGCTTTAAGTGGGTGAAGTAGAACTATTATGCAATCTCTGAGAAAACATGAAGGAATCTGATCATGACCTGACGTTAGTTTATTTTTTAATTTCTTTCCTGCCTTCAATATTTCTTCCTCCGTTATTGACTCGACACTCACATCCAATGTATCAGTGAGATCCGGACTGAATGTTAGGTTCTCTTCGACATCAATGTCAGCCGAAGAGAGGATGCTCTCAAAAAAACTAACAAAGGCATCGACTACACTTTTAGAATCACTAAACGTTTCATTATTATAAATCATCTTGGCTGGGATTCTAGAGGTTCTTTTTTTTTGTGAATAAATGACCAAAATGATTTAGGATTCAGCTTTAACTGATTTTGAATATGCTGAAGATAGCATTGATAATCTTCCCTAATTTTCTGTTTCAATTTCAGTCTGGTATTGCTGAAAAGTTCGTAATCAGCTAAGATTCCGGTTGATTTATGCCTTTTGTGTAATTTAGACTTATGCTTAACAAGTTTGATAGCTTCCCTTGTATACCACACAGGATATTTATGACGAAAAACTTTATGAAGTGGCACGTGGTCATCAAATATTTTGTATAATGTTTTATAAAAAATATCCACAGCTGCATTTACGTCATCTATATCTACCTAATCCTCCCAGCTTGTATTCAGCAGGCTCCTGTAAAGTGAGATGAAGTCTGCTTTTTTAAAGTTGTAACGTTTATGATGGTCAGTTGTTCTGTTAGCGTGATGCTTTTCAATTACTTCAGAAATTCTGATTGATAAAGATGGGTGGAATGAATCTTCATTTACCAAAGGAGCACAATTGCGGTTTACGGTGCAGTGCCATAAATATTAGGTATACTGTTAAACTGATGCATGTCAAGGAAAGTAAGAAGGTTTTTAATTATGCGGGTTTTTCCATCATCAACATTGTTATCAACTAGTCGAGGGCAATTGAAGTCACCTGTAATCACAATTTTTTTTGTATGTCGTATGTCCCGATTTTCAAGAAATTCGATGAAGTTTTCAAATCTTTCAAGAGAAATGTTTGGAGGAATATAGATGTCGGCTACATATAATGTGAAAAAGGATATATGACACTTACATAACAGAAAGTCAATCTCAGGAAAGTTTACATCGAAATGAGTATAGTCAACGCCAAACAAAGTGGCGTGCACGTCATCAAGGTGGGTGTGTTGAAAAATTTACATTGTTGCCAAACTTTTTGTAAAATAATAAAATTTATTATTTACATATCTAGGTTTATAAGCAATATTAACCTCAAATGAGAACAAAAATAATAGTATAATAAAATTATAGATCTGTACTTGCATAATCATTAAGTATGACAATTATTGATCAGGTGACACTATGAAACTACCATATTTAATTGATAGCTTAAAGGTACTGAATAAAAATCCAAATGGGGTCCTCCAAATTTTATGCATGGTATTTATTTTACAGAATTCATACAGAAAAATGCATTCTAAAATTAGGTAAGCTACTGGTGTAAGCTTTTTCTGTACAATAAAGTTAGTCGGAGTTTCTTTCTTCAGCGCTGTCTGAATCTGAATCTTCATCACTCTCAAAGTTGATTATTAAAGGTTCGATGTCTGGTCGATCAAAAATTCGTTATCTTTCATACCATTTAAAAATTTCTTGCTCAGTATGTCGAACACTATTTTTCCACATGTCTGGGGTAACCGTTTGTAGAGCCTCGTTCCACATATCCAAACAGTCTTTTTCACTGTTACCATCTCTACCAATATGTGTGTTATAGTAACCTTTTGCTATGCCCCAAATTAACTAAATAGGGTTAAATATACAATGGTAAGGAGGCAGACGAAGAACTTTGTACCCATGTTGTTCCGCCAATTCATCAATCACGTATATTTTAGGTGGTTTGTTTCTAAAAAAGCAGTTATTTTAAGAATAGGAATAAACAAAAGAAATATAAACTGTCGGCCAAAATATATATAATTAAGAAGCATTATGCACCGAGCAACAATACTCAATAGCTCTGTTTTAAACATTGTGTTTAAAAATGGTATGTTTTGATTTGTCAACCAGTCTTGAATATTTTTTTTTGTCCATGCATTGTTGGGCACTTTGTTCAATATCATGCTGTGATAAGGGGCGTTATCCAGTATAATCATAGATGGACTCTCCAACTTTTCTAATAACTGATGTTGAAACCATTTCAAAAAATTGTCCTGGTTCATCTCTCCATGGTAATCGCTCAATTTTGTTTTCGAAGAAAATATCGCTTCACTACCCTCAATAAACCCATTTTCATTTCCAGCATGTAATATAATGTATCTAAAATATATTAGTTTTAAATTTTATAGTGCAAATTGTGTAAAAGTACATACCTTTTACCATCTGTTTTAATAGCTTTCACGCTTTTTTGGTTTCCATTTTGCCAAGAGCGACCTATGGTCCCATTTTGAAATATCCAAGTTTCATCGAGGAAGACAAACTGGTATAAGGCCTCAACCTTGGTTTGATTGTATTGCCTTAGAAATTCCACCCTTTTCAAAGCTATACTTGGTAGTTCCATGAGCCCTCGTCGCGGATTGTCCTTAAGCCACTTAAATCCAAGATCTCTAAGCAACCGCCTTAAAGACGTGGCACTACCATCAAATAATGCCCTATCTCTTAATCGAGTCCATAAAGTTTGTATCGTAACTTGTTCTTCTGAAACCATGTGTAATATGACATTATAATTTAGTTAACAAATTAATGCAAATTTCTGATAAGTTATTATAATAAGATCTTACTTTTGTGATACATATTATAGATCACTTCTCGAATGGCACTTGTATCCAATGTCGCTGTGTTGGTTACACGTTTAATATAACTCCGCTTCTTCTTGGGCGATTCTAAATTTGCATCACTTTTCACACCCTCGGAAATACGACTAACTGTCCTTAAACTAATTTTTAAAGCAGCAGCAACACGCTACAAAAAATGAAATAAAATTTCACTATTATTAATATACATTACATATAATTATTAGTAACCTACCTCTTGAACAGCATTTAAAGGCAACAAAGGCCCGTTGTTGTCCCTTTCTTGCTCAAAGTAGTGCATTAACGAGGCCACGAGTTCCTTACACCGACTATTTAACTGTTTGGGCATCTTTATATACCAAAATTGCCTTTATCTACTCGTAAAATGAATAATTTTGTTTTGAAACAAACAGTTCTTGATTTACAGTATGCGGGGCCAAAGGATTTATAAAGATTTGAAATGCCACAAATTGATTCAGTGTCAAAATTAATACAAATGTCAGTTCCCAGTTTAAATAAGTTTCAAGGTGACAATGTGTCAACGCTGCGAAATCGGTTTAGTGCGTTTACATGTCGATAAGTGATTGGAGCGTTTGCAAAACATTTTATTTCGCATAATGCGTCTAAATTTATCAGAAAGCAACTTATGTGATATTTTAATAACAATGTTTATATGACTATTAACCATAATAAGAGAGTAATGACCATTTTACAATTTATATATCACATTAATATGAAACTGCAATAGAGCAATTGTTTGTGATAGAAACCTAGGCATTAGGTCGGGGAATTTTTATCGTGATGACGTGCACGCCACTTTGTTTGGCGTTGACTATAGTATTTATCACCTCAGACTTCATATCAGAGTCAACAGCTAAGAGTACGCCACCACCTGTACATGATGACATAATCAGAATTTAAATATGACGATTCTCCTTTTGATTTCAAACTAAATAGTACATTAATATTTTCACTACTTCTACTCTACATGATGGCATAATTGAACTTTCAACATGACGTTTCGTCTCTTGTCCTCAATTACCAACTTTATTTTTCACTATTGACACCATATTGGATTCCTATCTCCGAAAATACTCGAAATTGCGAATTCCAATATTTGTCCTTGAGTTAATAACAACAAGACAGTAATTAAAAAAGGTGCAATAACGGCAATACACACTTGCAGCACTAAAATCGATGCATGGGGAAAAGTCCTCCATCGCTTCTGTGTTGTAACTATTGAATGAAAACAATAGGTTCTTTAGCTTTCCGCGAACTGCATCTCTCATGAGACAATAAAAACAAAAAGTTTCTTGATCTGTCCGAACAACAACAAACACGTCCAAGTCTAATCTATTAATGAAACACCAATGAAGACGAACGTGTTTATTTTCATCTTCCGTAAAGAGCATTTTTATATAAAAACTGCTTCTGGATCAGAGGGATGCAGTACCAAAGATACAATCAGCCATGACAATCACCAAGTGTACGGTCTACCTCCTCGTCTTTAACTTCTTGGTAAGTATACCTTGTTTTAGATGCAAATATATTTTGTTATAAGTTGTGAGATAATGTTTGATCACAAGTTCCCAAATCGTTCAAAATTTGTTTAGTTATGTAAACGATTCAAATATGGAAATTAACGTTTACGTATGCGTTATTTGTAGTTGCTAAAGCTTTCTAAACTACCTTTCTACTCAGAACCTAGCAAAGGACACAAGTATCAGTATTAAATAGGTACAAGTGAGATTTCACTTATACTCGATTTTCATCTCCGTAATACAGGGCGTTTCCTAATGGACTGTCAATGTTTAAGTCAATTTGCTAACGTTTTTAAAAATAAATAACTTATTAATATCTGTAATGCCACTTTATATATTTTAATAAATGTTGACATACATATGCTATGGTATCAGGATGGAGTTTTAGTGTCTCATATTGTTTTTTAATTTACACCAGTGGCGTTCGTATGGGATTTCACTTGTCTATTTTGACAGACATTGATGTTAATTTGATCATTTCGTTTTTCCAATCCTACGCACGGTTCTCGCTTAAAAACATAAAAACCGTTTCAATATATTTCATATGACAATACGACCATGCAGAAATAGATTTAATTTTTTTTGTGCGTTAGACTAAGAAAATTCGTTATATCAAATCTGCTCATGAATAAATACAAATTTCATGTATATCGAGCAGTGCTAGCGGCGTGCCATTGGTTTATTTTTGAAATCATTACCGACGTGTATCTCAAAAAATAATACGCTTTATAATAAAAAGAAGTTGTTTTCCTTAAAATGACCATGAATATTGACATTCAATAATTAGGATACACCCTTTATAATTATATATATATATATATATATATATATATATACAGGGTGACTTTGAAGTTGAGTCATTAATTTTCAGATAATGATTGTAGAAGGAAGATAAACCAGAATATGTGTGTAAAAATAAAAAAAAATTGAAAAAAAAATTTTACCTTGTTTTATAAAGTATCCTCCCGACATGTATTTCAGTGCGGACCTGTATTTGATCGTGAGGTCCCCTGTGAGGTCTTAAGTCACCTGATTCACGAGCCCGTTGTACTACATTAACAAAGGCACGAGGGGTTGGTTGCACTCGATTGGGAAACCGATCCGCATAAACATGTGCCATTTTTTATTTCGTTTGAGCCACGCAACAGAAACTATTCACACGCTAACCGACAGATACTGACTGTATGTATAACTGAACTGAATAAAACACTTAATTGCAAAAACGTCGTTCCAAATTCTTTCGCTTTTTTGTTTCCGATGCGATGAACCGGTAAGGCGGATTATATCCGTTGTTGCCAAACACGAGTACATGATATTATTATTGAGACAGGGTGGTACTCAAACTTCCAAAGGGCTATAACTTTGTTACTTTAATTTTACCAGAAAAATGGTAAAGGAAAAAAACATTTCTTTTGATCAGATCTACTCACTGTTAAAATAAATGACTCAACTTCGAAGTCACCCTGTATATACGAGCCCCTTCCCACTTCAGTTGGCCCACTTCAAGATTTGTACCAAAATATGCCTTTATAAACTAAACATGACGAAACTATTTACTTGTATAAAAAATACATATTTGCAATCACTTGGACCTATAACTAATTGAACATCTGAACAAATATACAATGTGCGAATAAATGCGCGAAATTAACAAAGCAACAATTGAAACATTACCATTGGGTAACATCACCTTTATTTTTTATTACGGCTGAAATTCTTTGGCTCATAGTGTTAACCAAGTTTTGACAAAAGTTTGGTGTAAACCAATCTCATATTTCTTGAAGCTTTTGTCTCAGTTCGGTGATTGTACGAGCAGGATGTTGTCGTAGAACCTTTTTCATTTCGTGCCACAAAGTTTCAATAGGTGACAGATCTGGACTGCTGGAAACCCATTTCCAAAGTGGTACATTATTTTCTTCCATCAATGTTATAGCCTTTTTTGAGGTATCGCACGCTGCACCATCTTGCTGAAACACAAAATCTTCGCTTTTCTCTTCAGACAGTCAACTTGGAATTCTTCTTTTTTTTGCGAATAACTCTACTGCGACTGTCACCAACACAAACTTCGAATCACTCCATTGTATTGCACACCATTGTTGAGGCGTCCATTTTCTATGTTCTTAAGCCCATCTAAGCTGATTTTTCTTTTGCAGTGGAGTTAATAGTGGCATTTCTTTGGCCTATAAACAAGTTGTGCAACTTTAGGGGTTTTTACTTCACTTTTTTTATAAGAAAACTTACCTTGCAAGTGCTAAATCCCAGTTTGTGGGCCTCTCTATGAGTTGTGAACCTCGAAATTCTCCTTCCAACATCGTCACTCCACAGAGCACTTAATTGTAAATAATTGGCACGCCTGTTTTTCACGATTATTCTTCTTAATGCTCTTCGTTCGGCATTTGTCATATTACTTTTTTCACATATCGTGGCTTAATATTAACTGAGCCAGTTACGTTATATCTTCTAACAATATTTCTCACACTGTACTGCGATAAGTCTAACAAAGTTGCAATTTCTGAGTTTGATTTCCAGAATTAAAAAATTTAATTATCAGTAACCGAATTTTCTAACTAATAACCTTTCCTCTACCCATTTTGAAAACCTTAACTACCCAAAACTATTTTAAACGTATTCTCGACAGCTGTGATTAATAAAAACAATTGTCATGGCTTTTATTTTTCACGGCCACCTATGCGTTATAGCCTTGTTTTGTATTGAAATGAAAATAGGTTGATATGCTGAATTGCAACATGTGTTATTTTTATGCTGCACATTTGATTTATGAGATTTCAATAGTTGGGCCAACTGAAGTGGGAAGGGGTCTTATATATAATTAGGTTAGTTTTTAATTCCTCTATTGGAGCTAGATTTTTTCTGTATACATACATATTTATAAATATCTCTATATTGCACCTTCCTGCTGGTTTTCTTAAAAGGATAAATAGCTAAAAAAGTGCTTCGTATAAATTGGTAGACCACCATGTTTTTTCAATTCTTCAGCGAGAATAGCTGGAGACAAAACCGGTGATAATGCTTTATAAAAATTAAAAATGCGTTTCAATTTGGTTAGATCATTTCAAATGCAGTAATAATGTAAGAGCATGAACATATTCAAGTTTTGCTAGTATTTGCTTATCAGATCGCTTATTTATTATACCTTTGCTGGCGGTGTCTATAAACATGTGAATTAGTATCTACAAATATTTGAGTAAGTGTTGAATACGTAAGATATACGATATACGTGTTTAACCTCTGATTTTTTGTTTTACTTTCCACGCCGAAATCGAGATACAAATATAAATGCCAAGCATTTCTATTATTTTGTCTCTCGTTTATCGTTGGGCACTAGGGTCGTATTCTCAGTTACTCCTATGTGTCTTTTTATTTCTAAGAACGTCTACAGTGGAAATGCTCGAAGAAAAATGAAGAAAATATAGTCAAAACAGGAACCCTACAAAGTAAAGGGGTGAATTTCCAGGGGGTGTCAGATTTGGGGGATGGGAGTTATATGGGCATGGATGCTTGTAAATACTGCGCTGGCATTAAATAACGACGTTAATCAACGGATTTCAGCTCTAGTAATGCTACGCACCAGTTAGCAATATTTCACATGGATTTTAGATACTTTTATATTTGAGACAGAAACCTCGTCAGGATATGTGTATGATATATTATTTTTAATACATTACTTAGACCTTTTGCGATGCAGCAAATTGTGATCCAACTAGCAAAGGTAAAAATAGTATGGCTTAAAATATATGTCCCCGAGTAGTCCCGCCATAGACGCAGTACTGCGAATATAAAGATTTTGATTGCTAAGGCACTTCATGATGACATAACATAACGAACATAGTGTCATGTTTTGCATTGGCTTGGTGGAGTTCAGCGATCTGCATACACAGGCAATGCTGCTATATATGACATATTTGAAAACTGGTGCATGAACGATGACGTCATTAAAAAAAACTGTCAAACCATCCCATCCGTATGTTTTTGCATGTTAAGCCATATTTGGCCATAGGTTAGAGTCAGATTATTTAAAAGATTTAAACTTTGTTCTTGAACGATCGTCGCGTCTCTAATAATCTCAGACCAATTGGGAAAAGTACAAACGCTTGACTTGACTTTCTGAATACGAGGTCATAGAAATTCTAGTCAAAAGTAGTTTCATTGAGTTCCGGATCTGTACTAATATGCACATAACATGAATAATAATATTGATGCATAAAATACCAATGAAATTGTTATTTTTCATTTACAGGTGGAAACCATGCTGTGCACCGTGACACCTACAAAGGAACCGCCGAGGCGTCCGTTCATTACTAGTGACAACATACCACCATTCCTGGAAACAGATAATGTTACATCCACTACACAAGAGTCGTCTGATACTTTAGATAATATGAGCGATGAAGCATCACTAACCCCAGGTAATCATACCATTGACGATGATCGGACAACCAATATAGAAGAACGAGGATCATTTGGTGACCTATCACAAATGCATTCAGTTCGAAGTAAAACGATGCGCAGGCAAACCCAGAGCTCATTGGAAGATTCTAAGCAAGTGACGACGCTGCCGCCCATGACACGATCTACTGATCAGAATAGGTACAAGACTCCAAACAATAACGATAGAGGCAGGCAACTTCAATTACCATTCACCGATCAAGATCAGAACAGAAGAGTAAATCCACAGACCTCACTCCCAATTGGCGATGATAGGCGCAATTTTGGAAAAAACGATAGGTTATTTGCAAGCGGAAGGGGTGTAGGAACTGGCGAGTCTCAGAGCGGTCAAGATGGCGCCTCTTTAGAGGACATTCCTCCTCTATCCGATAATAGACAACTGGATCGTCTACGAGGCATTTCAACCCCCACCCCGAGCATCAGAGATAGACAGCGCAATCAGCAGGGTTATCAACCAGGCATCGGTCAATATGGATTTCCTTCAGCAGCTAACCAACCTGACTCTAACAATGGACAAATTAATACACAGGGTACGATAGATATAAATGGAGCTGCTCTTCGACAGTATCTAAATAACGACAGAGGCAGACAACAAAATCAACAGGGCTACCAACCTTTTAACACCCAAAGTTCATTTCCTCCAGAAAATATTGGTTACAACAACAGACAGTCAAATCAACAACCGACTTTTTCAGCTGCATTAGGTAGAGACAAAGATATTCTTGGATCGGTCAACCAACCATTTGCAGACAAACAGGACAGAGAACAAAATCGCCAAGGCTACCAACCATTCAACAATCAAGGTACATTTCCATCCGAAAATACAAAAATTCGTTCCAACGGGCAGACAAATGATCGTATAATCTGTGACAAGCGGGGTTTGTGCAATACCGTCACTCAAAATGACATGCTCCAAAACACCTACAAATTGATCGAGCAATTATCATCAGATCGATATGAGACATCTATGTGCTTCACGGAGATCGTATACATAACTGAGTTCGACAACAGTGATGCATTCTTCATTAGCAAGGAATTCGTCTGGACCATCGAGACCGCAGATCATAGGAATGCTTTGAAAAATATGAGTTGTGACAACCCCTTGGACGCGATTACAACCGCGCCAGTGGAGCTGACTAACACTGAAAGACTTGAAGATCGGGTAGTCAAAAAGTACAGGGTGAAACACTGTGGAATCGGAAACATCTTCAAACACGAATACGCAACATGGCCTGACAGTGACAAAAAAATGATCCAGGTTACTATTTCCAATGGTTCTCCCTTGCAATGTAGAAGCCGCCGAGACAGAAGCCGGGACTTCAATTATGGAAAACAACAACAGGCTAGTACATTGCATCCGTTTGCCTACAGGTCAACTGTGGATGCAAATTTGAACACATATGTTACAGACATGCCAACTAGTGTTTTTCAACCTGGATGGAACACTGCAGGATATGGCGACAATGGCTTCACGCCTGGTCCTCCTATTGTTCAAGCCCAACATGCAGTGGAAGAATTTGAGGATAATAGTGAGGAGGATGTTAAGCAAAATTTGAATGACTACATGAAGGTCATCATTGATTGTGTGCTGAAAAATAAAAATTTCAAGGGCATGTGTCCACATTCTAAAAAGGCAAGAAACTAGTTTATATATGTCTCATTCTTTTAGTTTGTAATAAAGATAATCTTACCGAGCAAAGGGTGTTTTTACTCAACTAAAAAATAACACTATGTACGAGTAGATGGGCCATTCAGTGTGATTTAAATTCGACCCTCACCATTGGGATCTCGGAAACGGTAAGAGATATGAAGTCGCCTAACTATTTGCATAGGGGAGAGTGTTGCCCCTCGGGACACTTTTCAGTTAAACGTATTCTTTTACAAATTTTTCAATAAACATTGTTTATGAAAGCAGTAATATATTAAGCCATTTTTACACTATTTACCATAATTCTTACAAAAATAAAGTGTTACGTTTCGATATTTAATTCAAGCCTGCAAATGATTCATGCGCATTGTCCCGAGGTACGAGAAGGTCGTGTACCTTGGACCAAGATTAATAATTGTACCTTAGGACAACATCTAATAAAAGACAAAATAATACAAAAATATGTTTATTCGTATTTTGATTTATTTCACATGTTGTAAGACATAAAATCTCCTCAATACGTCATTTTGAAATTTGGAGTGCTAAATTTTATATAAAAAAACTTACATACCTCAGCTTATATCCTATCTGTTACTTTTTCGAATTTTAATTTTTGCTCATACACGGTGGTAAAAAACGCGAATTGTACTTTTTTCAAAAATTTCAAATGCATCGCCCTGTATATTTGTGCAAGTTTAGATTCAATTTTGTATGAACTTTTTTTTGGCACAAGGTTTGATTTAGATAAAAATACTAGTTTTTGAGTTATTAAGCTTTTAATAGAACAACATACCAAAATTAAGGAACAAAATCATACATGGAAACAAAAAAAATCAGTGGGCTAGTTCCATATTGCCACTAAGAGTACAGATTTGACGTAAAAACTAATAACAATTAGAACCGTATAAATCAGCTTCAAGCGTAATAGAGAAAGACAACTATAACAACAATATAAACAAACAGCTATAACTACTCAAAACGTAATCTACAAAAACTGCTCGAAAATATCTCCACCATGTTAAATACACAGCCGTATTCTTTGGATAAATGACCGTTGCACATCCCTCAGCATGTGTTCCCTTATGTTCAGAAAAGCATCCTTAATCCTTTCCTTCATATTTTCCGGAGTAGATGGTGGACATGTACAAACCTCTTGCTTAACATAGCCTCATGGAAAGAAGTCCATCGGTGTCATATCTGATGATCTAGGAGGCCACGATATAGGCCCATCACGACCGATCCAACGATTGTTACTCCAAGTATCCAAATAGTTACGCATACGATTATGATAATGCGCAGATGCGCCGTCATGTTGGAAACACATATGCATCTTATTTTGCAGTTTGACACTCTCCACAAGCAAAGGCAAATGTTCAATTAAAAAATTCAAGTATTCTGTACATGTTAATCTGTTGTCGAAAAAGAAAGACCCGATAACTTGTCTGCCAATAACTCCTCCCCAAACATTCAAGTTCCATTTAATTTGACTACTTGACTAAGCCAGTAAGGGTTTTCCGTCGCATAGTAGTGCATGTTATGCTTGTTGACAACATCTATGCTGTTAAAAATTGTATCATCGCTAAAAAGAACCTTATCCAGGAAAGTAGTGTCTTCACTCACTTTATCTGGCATTATTCTACTAAACTCCATTCGAGCTGCGAAATCCTTAGGACGAAGGCCTTGACGCAAGCATAGGTGATATGGATGGTACCTATGCTTTTGAATAATCTTTTGGACAGACGTTCTGCATATATCAATTTCTGCTCTGCACTCAAAAGGGGATTTTCCTGCAACGCGAGATGGTAGGAAACTATTTCTTTGGGCTTCGCCCCAAACGAACACCATAAACACGTTTTTATTATAATGGTCACAAAGGAAAGTTAGACAGTTTGTAACTAATCAACAATTTATTTGTTTACAAGGATGATGGGATATTTTAGGGAATTAAGCCGTTCCATAAAACACCTGCTAATAACCAAAAAAATCGTAAAAAACCTTATGTGTCTGGTACCAAAAAAAGCATCTAAACAAATGAATTCAAACTTTCACAAATATATAGGGTGATGCATTTGAAATTTTTGAGAAAAACTGCAATTTGAGTTTTTGGCCACCCTGTATGAACAAAAATCAAAATTCAGAAAAGTAACATACAAGACAAAAGCTGAGGTGAGTAAGTTTATTTTGATATAAAATTCAGCACTCCGAATTCCAAAATGGCGGACTGACGGGTTGCCGAAATGTGGGTTTTTTTCAGACAGAATACCTTATATCTCAGTAGCTAATCAACTATATCAATTTTCTTCTTTTGAATTGGTTTATCCAGTTGTGCGATAAAATTTGAGGCATTCTATTTGAAAAAACAAAACTTTGATATGTAGGTCGAAATTGGGACACCGTGTATAATGGCGAACATTTTAGAAATATGCCCTAAAATGTCATGTACGTTATAACATCCCATTCATAGATTATTCCAAAATGTATTTGTTTACGAGTAATATTCCGTCCACACATGGATGGGCCACCCTGTATATTCTCCTCTGATTTTCATTCACGCGACACTGAGTTCTAGTAACTTGAAAAATATTTACTTTGAAATGTTGAAGAAATGCAATAAATTTCACTATCAATAAATAAATACTTTTTCTTTTCACTGTTGCTGCGTTTGTTCAGAAGAAGTGAACGAATCATCATGTAGCAATATCTCTGATCCTTTCGTAAACTATTGGTTATAGCCGAAATGATATGGAATCCAGTTCCCTAACTGTTTATGCTACTTCCTAATACTTTTTTTCATAGAAAGTTTTTGGTCAACATCAGAATACTTCAGACTTATCATAACGCCAATATCTCAATTTATCACCAAAAGGCAATATTCTAACAATATCATCAGAAACATTTTCTGTTGCATTTATTGAAGAATCTTGGTATCCAAAATCTTCCCTAGCCTACTATTTTATCTTCTCGCAGCTGTAGATATAGATTCAATCTTGTAATATATTGATTTAGGTACTTGGGGAAGCTTCCACTGAACCTTTCCCACTACCATTGAAGCTTGATTGATAGCTAAAAAGCTGGTACATGGTATCCCATCCATGCGGAGGCGGAATATTGCTTCTAAACAAAACCTTGTCAAAGAAAATTACTTATGGAATATTATACGTGCAATTATATAAGGTGGCCTTAATTTTGATCCTCACAGCGATATTTCTTTTTTAGTGGTTGGTCATTTTTTTATTTTATAAAACAACACTGAAGTTTGACATCAGCCTGCACACCTGCTATCTTTACATGAAGTAGTAACTTATGTGTCAAACATTTCTTTGTCCTCAAAACGTAATTCGTCCATTTTCAAATTTTCTGAATGACTGATACCAATACAGGATGGTAAAAAATCGAAAGGTACCTTTACTCAAATAAATTTAATGGAGCACCCCGTATATTTAAATATTTCGGATTACACTTTTCACAAGTTTCTTCAATGAAACAGCTAAGTAATAATCAAAGGCCATACATATGTTATATACTAAGTGACATATAAATCCGAACACCCAGTTTAAATGGTTTTATTTTAATAAAAGTTGGTGAATGTATTTATCTTACTGTAAATAACAAGTGAAAAAATGTTCAGCCTTACCAGTTGGACATTCCGGTTTTTATACTGCTTTTTTAATTCACTAACGCTCTAAAAATGAATATTTCAGCCGCAGTAAAGAATCAACGTTGGCGGATTTTGGTTCTTGACATCCTTTACGATCGGTTACGATGCCTAGAGTACGGAGACCTGTACGATTTCGTCAACTTAGTGAGTTTGATAGGGGCCGTATAGTGGGACTTCGGGAAGCTGGACTTTCTTTTCGGGCAATTGCAGTTAGAGTGCAAAGAAGTGTAGATACTGTGGTTAGGTGTTGTCAGGCATGGCTTCGAGAAGGCCGTACGCAAAGAGCAAGGGGCACTGGACGCCGCCGTAGAACAACAGACCGTGATGATCGCCGCCTAAGGTTATTGGCCTTAAGGGACCGTTTCTCCACTACCAGGTCCATTGCAAATGAATGGTTTGCAGAACACGGAAGGCCTATTGGCATGCGAAGTGTTTACCGACGAATGAGAAGTTTTGGCTTCTTTTCATACCGGCCACACTGGGTCCTCCCTTTAACTCGAGAACACCGACGTAATCGCCTTGAGTGGTGCAGACAACGGACACTCTGGGATCAGGAATGGAACAGTATTGTCTTTAGTGACGAGTCTCGATTTTGTTTAGGCATGCACGATGGTCGTGCCAGGGTTAGAAGGCGACGTGGTGAAAGGAGGAATCCACAGTTTTTTGTTGAAGGACATGTTCATCACACTGTTCATTTACTTATTATGCTTCATTAAGTACTTATACAAAATTTTATTAAAATAAAACCATTTAAACTGGGTTTTCGGATTTATATGTCACTTAGTATATTAATTTACATAATGCCCTGTAACCTTCAAAAAACATATCCTATTGTCGAAATCTTTCGTGATTACAATAAGTGTACAATGCGTGGGATGCAGAAATGACAGATGCATTGCTCTTTCAAATCAAATATCTGCTATATGCTAAAACCAATATCTCAAATCTTGTTCAAATACAAAATTTTACAACATTATTGTTCATATAAATGCCCAGAGATATAGTTTTTGATACAGCACATACGAAATTTAGTTATATTCCATACTCCGGAACGTGCAATGACATCTTTATTACATATCGTACGTATAGATTATATTAAAATTTTAATTCTAAGGCGCTTTAATATCTGTCTGTCAGTAGTATGTAAAACCTGGGCCTTGTGCTGTGCTATATGTAGGATATATGTAATTTCAGAATGATCCCTTTGAAAAATTGCTAATCCTAGTAGTTTGGAAATATTTTGATCATTTTCTGATTTCCAAAAAGACAGATATTACATGCTCAGTTTGGCGTGAGTTCAGTCAGTAATCACGGTCAGACTGATGTGAAACTGATCTTACTATGCGTTGATAGATTGGTCGTGTAAATTGTATCAGTTTCCCGTCACTCTTCAGTTCAGTGCTCGACATGGAGTCACAGCGGAAAGACGCTTCGTCATAGGCCGTTGAAAACCGAAAAAGATTTCATAATTACATTTGAAACGTTGACAATTTTATGGGATAAAACATCACGTAAACAAATACAAGAGGAATGAAGCTCTGCAAGAACTTTTGGTGATATATGAAAAAATCAAGCCCCAGGCTACCTTGGATGATGTTAAAAAGACGATAGATACATTTAGATCCAACTACCGTCGCAAAACTGAAAAAGATAGAATTGTCTCGAAGATCTGGAGCTGAGACAGATGATATTTATACGTCCAAGAGTTTGAATATCTCCATGTTTAGAACAAATTTAGAAAACCTCAGGTAAGAACTATTTTTTTTAGTCAGCAATAACAATAATAATGGTAATTTATTAATTCTCATTTATTTTGCATACAGATTATAAAAACAAACATGTCCTAAAATTAAGTTTTCTAGTTGGGTACATTTTCACACTTGCATGTAGTCAGTACTTAGGATGTTCTGTGAAATAAGGATGAATAAATGTAGTGCAGTATTAACGTCATGAGCATGTTAATCCTGCTCCACAGAAGATTCTAAAATATAGGTAGCGTAGAAAAATCTTGTTTTTACAGTAAAGTGACGATAAACGCTCTGTTTCGGAGCTAGTTTGAGCTGTAGCCTGTGAGATAGGAATTACAAGGTTGAAATCTTTTATTTATTTCCGCCATGTTGTTTTGTATAAAATTTCAATGTAGCTATTATCACTCGCACCGCTAAGACGAATCCAATGACACCTCATATTTGAAAATCCGTCCAGCCGTTTGGCCTGTACGGGAAAATATGCACGTTATCCATATCAATCTAAATCAGTGTCACTCTCTGCGTGACGTCATGCTTGGCGGCGGACGAAAATCGAACAGCGGAGCATCCGGCACTGGTAATTAACTGATATTATTTGAGATGAATTTAATACTGTACGTAGGTTCCTGAACATAAAAATAAGCGAATTTAATTTGATTGTTAATTCTTTACATTGAACCTTCCATGATAACGTGTCATGAACGTGCAAACCCAAAAATCTGACTGAATTGCACTGGTTCGTTTGAAGTGTCATGGTGCCAACCGTGATATGTATATCACCAAAATGATTCTGAATGTTATGGAATCGTAGACATTTTGTTTTCTCTAAATTCGTGTAAAGGTCTAAGTCATGTAGGTAAGATATTACATCACGTTGAGACGCTTTTATAGTTAATGAAATGTAATCAGCATACATAACGTGGTTTTGCCCTAGGTCATTTACTTTATTTGCGTACAATAAAAACAAAACTGACCCCTGAGAAACTCCCATAAATGAGGATTTTCTTTTTGATATTACTTCATCAACGACTTTGTTCCGAAATGTTGAATAGAGAAACATATTGCTATCGTTCAGAAAGAAAAGATTCAATTCATTCCAGATGTTTACCTCATATACCGTATTCTTCTAATGTAGATAATAATATTGAATGATTGACATAGTCAAATGCCCTGCTCATCTCAATAAATACAGTCACATAATATTTACATTTAGCCCATCAGTTTGCCATCATTTAATTTATGATCAAGGTTATGGACTGATCTGACGCCAAACTGAGCTTATAACAAGTGTCTGACATACAATTCCGAAAAGAATCCTGATTTAACTACCGTCGCCATACAATATACCTGTTACAGTTACTGACACTTCGCGTTGTCACAGAGGGAACGGAAAGTTAACAATGATAAAGACATTAGAAGATACACGACATTTTTGTTTTTACTTCATTTTAAAGTCGCTTGTCCCTTTTCTTCAACTGCCTGATTAAAAGCAGTAATCTCTTCTTTCATCTGATCATATCATGATGTGTATAGAGATGACTAAAGATGACTAAGATTTTTGGTGGCCAGACGAGAGAACTGAAAGCTGGGTCACAGAGTTTACCGCAAAACAACAAATACTGACAGATATCTACACAAGGACTACAACCATCATCCTGGACAAGAAACAGGTGTGATTAAAAATCTGATAGACAAGGCACGTCGAATTTGTAAACCTCGATACCTGCAGGGTGAACTGGGTCATGTTACTAACATGGTCTTACAAACAAACGGCTATCGCAGGGAACAAATAGAACAGGTTTCACGCCAAAAAAGCAGACCGCCGGAAGGAGACAAAGAACCACCTGCGGGAGGCACTTTCCTACCATACATTAAAGGAATTACGGATAGAATAGGAATGTTGCTGCACAAATACAACGTCAAGACTATCTACAAGCCGACAAATAAGATCCAGCAAGGACCCTAGGGACCCCATGAGCGGTGCCGGCGTTTATAGAATACGGTGTTCCTGTGGTAAAGTATACGTAGGCACCACTAAACGTAGCTTCTAAGAGCGCATCAAGGAGCATGGAACAAACTGTCGACTGGTACAAACTGATAAATCATCGGTGGCCGAACACGCACTCCAGGACGGTTCGGCTAAACGGAAGTCCTATCGAGATCCACCCACTACTCAGCCCGAATGTACGGAGAAGCAATTGAAATCTACAAACACAATGATAATGTTAATAGAAAAGAAGAAGGCCTTGCTTTAAGCAATTATGAAAAACACAGCGCAAAAACCACGTTACTCAAGGGACCCAGAGTAACCCCATCAGTCAGCTCAGTCCTCAGTCCACCGATCGCCTATAAAACCGCACGCCCATTCAGTTGACCGATCAGTTTCAGTCGACCAGCCAAGCCGAGCACTTCGCTCTCGCCGACAGCGCCACTGACGATGGCTACCGCAGATGTAGCCGTAAGCTCTGGATCAAATCCAACCCGACCACGGCTCAACAGCCCGAAAACCTAAACGACAAATGTCATTTATTTTACTTTGTACATTTTTCATGCATACTCACTAAAGACGTTTATACAGAATTCTTACTGTTTGCTTCTTCACTTGCAATTCGATGTGTGGAATAACATTCGTTCGAATTTATGTTCGGAATGTTTAAATGAGAATTACTAAGTAGAGCTACCTGACATTTTAGGATGCCATTACCTTTTCTAGAAAGTGTGCTATGTTTTTCGATCTAGGGCAAAATTCAGACACTTCCGGGCTATAGTTCGATGAATACTTAATAATTCTGGTTTACAATGAATAAAAATACCCGAGTATAAAATTGTCTACTTTATTTCTCAAAAAATTCTATTCTAAGGATGATCGCATACTTGCGAGCTCTGACAATTGAATGGCCAATAATATGCTGACTAATTCGACAGTCATCAACTAACAGCTAATTAGTTGTTGGTAATCGGCCTTCAGCTTCCTCAGCTAACTCGTAAGGTGTACATGAACAACAATCTATGGAATCATTGACCTGAATAAACTAGATCAGTTTGCTGATTGTCAGCAAACAGGCTGTACGAACAAACCAGGGTGCAGTGTCTAAATGTATTCGTGTACACTACGAGCCGTTATTCTCTAACTTCTCAGGACTAAGTTGGAATATGCTGGGGTACCAGTCTCTGTTGTGGTGTTGCCAGAAGAATGTTTGCGATATAATTTGATTCAGAAGCCGTTGCTCTGGCCAAGGAAAACCTGTGGAATATACAGGGTGTTTCAGTATATTGTTACATAACTTTAAAATTCGATAGAACTTTTAAGATTAATGCATAAAGTCTATATAAACATGGATCGAAAAATGCGTGGCTTCCGAAATACAGGGTGTTTAAATTTACTTTCTAAAATAGTTTTTTTTTGAATATTTCGAACAATATTTGATGTATAACAGCGAAAATTGGTATACGAACCATGGGCATAGTTTTACTGTAGCCGCTAGAGGGCGCTCTCTACTGTACCTGTAGTGTATTAAAATGACCGAAAATTTTTTCTTAGTGCAATTTTTTTTATAGTTAGCCGTTTTTTGAGATATTTCGATTTTTAAGGTTCGATGCATTTTTAATTATTTATGAGAAAATAATATTTTTTTACATTTTCGATTTGGGCATCACAAGTAATTAAGATGATCGTTTAGATTGTATTTTTAAACACAGAAATAATTCCTAACTCCAAATAAACACAAAAAAAACAGAAAATTAATTTGTTTAATCTTCCAATATTATTTTTAACAAATTAAATTAATTATTTACAACTAAAATGCTATTGGATAGTTAGGACAAACATACAAAATCTAAAGTAGTTGCGCGAAATGTAAACCAAATTGTTCATACACAATTCACATCTACGAATGATCGAACGTGGTATAGCATTACTCAAATAAGGGCTTAGTTCATAACATGCATTCCTAATTCTGTCTATTAGCATATCTCTTGTGGTTACGGGAGTCTGGTACACTTTTTCTTTTAGAAATCCCCACACAAAGAAATCTAATGGATTTAGGTCAGGGGATCGTGGAGGCCAGGCGACTGGTCCTCCACGGCCGATCCATCTTTCTGGATAATTTTCGTCCAGCCAGTTTCTAACTATTCTCGAATAATGAGCTGGACAACCATCAAGCTGGAACCAGGCCAATCTTCTTAAATCTAACATAACGTCATCCCACATATTTGCATGTTCAGCATTTAAAAATTCCAAGAAGGTCGCAGCATGTAACTTTGCAGGCAAAAGGTAGGGTGCAAATAGTCGATTACGGTAGATACCAATCCACACGTTCACACTAAATTCATGCTGAAAATTTCTTTCCCGAACTGCATGCGGATTTTCGTGCGACCAAATATGTTGATTATGAAAATTTACCACTCCACGTCTAGTGAAGCATGACTCATCGGTCCATAAAACGTTACTTAAAAACTCCCTATTATTATCAGTTCTATCAAGAATCCACTGACAAAATGTGATTCTTCGTTCTCCGTCCCCTGGCTGTAGTCCTTGCACAGGTTGCAAATGGTAAGGACGTCTATGGTCATTTCTAAGAACACGGTGAACATGGCTTGCTGAAATTCCCAAGGCACCAGAAACTCTCCTAAATGAATATCCGCTAACTCTTGATTGGAGAATAAAAATGGCATTTTTATAAAACTTACAAAAAAACAGGTAAAAGAAACTAAATTTGGTGCATTCACAATTGCAAAAAAACGTTTCAGGTTTCAACAGACAACAAAACTAACTGTCAACTAATTGACGTTTAACCTTATTCTGCTTTCAATTTCAAAAATATTTACAGTCACCGCCTACTTCTAAAAATTATCGACATACTGACTTTTTAACGTTATTTTATCATAAATAATTAAAAATGCATCGAACCATAGAAATCGAAATATCTCAAAAACGGCTAACTATAACGAAAATTCACAAGAGAGCTTTTTTATGTTGAAAAGTGCGAAGAATCAGTTTT